GTCGTCCATCTTTTATTTACAGTCTATGAGATAAACGCAGCCCTCTTGTTTATTTAATTAGTTCATGCAGACGGCTTCAACGAAACCAAAACACCGGGTTAACAAATTGTTCTACTGGTAGATTTACATTATTAAATCATGTTTGTATTGCAACAGGTTTTTTTTTTTACCTTAAAATGTATTGATGTTAGTATATTTATATATTTTATGGACGGCCTGGTTGAATTCCAGTGTCTCACCCTTAACTATTTTAAAACGCTCCTCCCCCGCTCCGTGCACGGTTTAAACACGGAGCTTCTTTCTCCAGTGAGGCCTGACGTGTTATGCAGTTAGATTTACACGTGTATAATATCAATAAAGTCAGAATCTTGTGTTGCCTCTATCATGTGAGTATAATATTATAACCCATGTACCAATTATTTCCATCAGGCCAAATTTGTTTTTTTCCACAGCGAATCAGAGCTTTGGCTGAAAAGCTTTTTTTTTTAATTGATTTAATAGATGGGAGTTTGCTTTTTCCCCCAGAGGCTTAGCTTTCAACATTTTAAAATCTAATTAAACTCTCATTCCCTTTTTGTACGAATTAATTACGAGATAATGTGCACAGGAAAGTCATTATACCAGTAATGCCACAAAGCAGTAGCGTCAACAAGCCTTTTGTTGATGCTCAGAACCTTTTCCATGAATCTTGCAGTTGTGTTTTGTGCAGAGACAGTCACAGAGGTAATAGATTTAATGTGATGAATAGCCCTTCACAATTAAATAGGACACTATTAACTTCATTATTTTCTATAAAAAAACTAATCGTAATCTGTGTCCCCAGTAATAAATCTTTAAACTTGTTATTTAAGAACAGCAAATGCAGACATGCTAGTACACAAGCTATTCACATGCAGACTATACCGAGGTACCGAAGAGTCTCGAGATCCTGAAAATAAAGTTCACAGTACATCATTCATACTTCAACACAAATAAAATAAGAATGAAGCAAAAAGTGTTTTTTCACCACAGGCACCAAAAAGTACAAATTCATTACATTCAATACTGAAGAGTCACACCTAACATCTTGTTTGTGCTAAATGTCTAAATGTTGTAGTCGTGAACGTCACAAGCAATTCTACAAATGTCATCAAGAGTCCGTTGAGGGAATTCAGGGAATGAAGATTTTCAAATAAACAGAAACGGAAAAACGTTTGTCATGAAACTGAACCTTTTCTTTTTTTTCATTCCCTTTGCTTTCGTTGGCCGTGTGATAGGAAATACTGAAGTTAGACGTAGAGCTCGGTCCTGAACTTCTAAACTGTACGAGTCTCTACACGTCTTTAGCATCAGAGCGACGCGATGCAACCTTTTGACTTTTGTTGTTTACCAACTTTACATCTTCATTACGGCACCGTTCAACACGCCAACACGCTCGCTGTGAATTTTCCAAACAGTTTCCTACTGTATTCTCAAAGGGGCTCACTCTTGACATCGACGCGTCTACATAAAAAACCACGTCATCGCTTGAACACAGAGCCCAACAGAATTAATCACCACATGCTGCAGGGGGCGCTGTTGATCCATAACAGTTGCATCGTGTTGCTTTTAGGCTAAATGACTGAACATGGAAACGTTTGCCCAAATATGGTATCAGGGGTGAAGTTAATTTGAAATCACAATTCTGTGGTTCGTTCTGAAATAATATTGGAAAATGTGCTCGGGTATCTGGTCGCTGGTCTCGCTCGGGAGTCGGTAAAATAACCGGATATTTTTACGCTTAACTTGAAATGTCAGTAAATTTCACCAAACGGTAGAATTATCCATCTAATCCTGTTTGTTTGCAGGTTCATACAGAAACTACAGATTTCCATAATTCATGAATCCTGATGAAAACTATGTGTTTATTGGCGTGATCTTTATAATTGTGTGCAATTTAGTGCCGATCCAAACGAAAGCCTGAATCTAGCGGATTTAATTGTGGTTTTGTCAGGAGACTGTTTCTGCGTTTATTAGATTTAATATTCAGAAGAGATTCAGATTACGGTGAAATGCCATCAAACCCCGGCGATGAGCCACGGGCCACGGCTTTGGAGCCTGACGCAAGAACTCTCACAGATGCACCCAGTATGTTCGGTAGCAGGAAGGGGAATTAAATCCAATTATAACTGGAAATGTTAACAAGGTCTCCAGATGGTCAGTCAACCGGAAATTCCCAGGATGGTGAATTCTGCCGGAATAATAGACAACACCCAGCCCGAGTGAGTAGCAGTGTTCAGAGGACACGAACTCTACAAAAAGGGATCAAATCTGAGTCGCGTGTTAACACGTCATTTAGAATATAGAACTCAGAATGACGTGAACCCTCTCCTCCGCAGAGGTCAAGGCTTTATTGGTGGATGCAGAAACGTTGCATAGCAGAATGAGTTTTGAGCACAAACACCAAGGGTGTGAGGAAAGTGCGGTGGAAACTCCGAGCATCTTGGAGGTCCGCAGACAGAAACGTGTTTGTCCACGCGGTGTTTTTAAACTCAAACTATTGAGACTAACTATGTCCAAGTGTTGTTTCGTGACTCGTCTGACAGAACTTGACCTCAGCGAGATTGAAACGCCCGCGGCTCTGCAGCAGTCAGCAGAACGGACGTGGCCATTTGGAAAAGTGGGAAATCGTTTTTTATACAATGACAAATACAAAGTCCATTTGATTTGAAAAACCGTGGTGTACGTGTCCACTGACCTGGACGATTGAGACACTTTGGAGACAACCTGTCAAGAACAGATGTACCTGCTTTGATTTTATCAAAACAAAGGACGTGTCGACGGACATTATTTTATTTGAATGGAGAAATATTTACTGCATTTAGTTTCCAGAACGCCCCCTTCTGAATTGAGTGGAACGTCGTTTGGCACAGTGTCGGTACTTTGTGCTTTGAAATAAATAATCCTTTGTGTCTCAGTGGATGTTTCTCATTTAAAGTTGACCTGTGTGAATACACGAGTCAATTCATGAATTTGAGATTCATTTGCAAGTACAGCACAAATATGGCAGCAGCCTTTCTTACTAACCCTCACTTACGACTCTCGAAACAGGCACTCGCTCGTGATGCGTGACGAATTATTTAGTTCTCCCACAGTTCGGCAAAGAAAATCTGACTCAAATCTGTTTGTGTTATGTAAATGTTTTATATTCTTGCATCCCAAAGGCTATTTCCTGTCACTGAAGTCGTCACCCTTTAGCTCCTTGTCACTTTGAATGTGTTTGTCTGAATACGACCTCATTCTGTGCGACTGATACCGTTTCCTGCTGCTGCTGCTGCTTTTACACATGTAAGGCCTCTTCCCTGCGACGCAGTAGAGATCGATCGGGACTTAAATATAAATAAAAATCGAGCACAGGCAGATTTAAGGACCTCCAAAAGTCCAGAGTGTTCCTTGTGTTGCACCACCTCTAGCTGTCAGTTTACCCACGTGTGGTTGAAAAGTTTTGCCGATAATGTTCCTCATCTTTTCTACACGTTTTCAAAAATGTGCACCTTTAATGAAAAAAATAAAAGGTAAAATGTGAGACACCACCGACAGTAGAGACTTCAAATATATAAAACCCTTTTGAACAGAAGGCAGAATTGATCAGATAGTTACACAGACAGAAATATTCACATTATCACTTTGCACTAAGCTTCAGACTCAGTAGTTGATATTTACAGCAGACGATACGAGGCCGACACAGACCCTGTGTGTTTCCCTTTTACAGCAGAGGTCGACTGCACAAGACTGTTCATAGAGAGAGAAACACAAAATAACAGTGACACAGTTCATCTGAGATGTACATGGCACATTCGTAGCAGGAGATTCATGAATGAACAAAGTTTAATCCTGCATCATTACACCTCTTTACGTACGTGTTTACGTTGCAGATTTCAGAATAAAAGCCTGGATTTTAAAAAAAAAAAGAGAGTTTTTTTTTTTATATAAATGATTAACATACAATCACTGTTTCCTCTCCATGCCTCTAACACCAGATCAAAAAGTATAAAACACACTGAGTGCGAACCTCATCTGGTTTCTGAGCTGATATTTATAATGTACGTGTTTTATTATTAAATAATACTGCAGTTTGAAAGTCAAGCGTTTTAACTAACGGAGCCAAACGAATCGTCTCAGGTTACTAAGCAACAGTTTTATAATTAAAATCTAAAATGTTATCAAATTTAAAATCTGGATCTAGTGAAATTAAATCTTTATCACTGTGGAGTCAAGACTCGATTGGTTCGGCGTCCGGCGATTGGTTTTGTTTTATGAAATAAAGTTTCAGCTGTAGATCTAAAAGCCATTGTTCCGAACGGCCTCGATAAAAGTTACCTGAAGGTTTGTTCACGTCAGTGTCTTGCTGTGATTTGATGTTTGAGCCCTTTTGAATTTTAGCCTTGTTTAAAAATATAATCTTCTTTTTTTTTCTTTGTTCCATCAATTGTGCGGATCGACAAGGACATTATACGATAGATTACATCAGATGAGTTTCTTTACTTTTGAAATCTGCTCCGCAAACGTCACAGTACAAACATATGTTTGATGCATCTTTATACATTTATACAAACAGTTTTTTAGAAGGTTTTTCATAGAGACAGTAAAGACGGTAGCTTATCAATGCAGTTTCCACCAAACCCTAATTAATGTATTTTGTATAGCTGTGAAAGTTGTGCACATTTTGTGCCTTAAATAAACTAATAGAGTGTTTCCTTACAGATATTTAGTTTGGTATGTATTTCAGGGACAAACACTGAAGTCACCCTGCTGGGTTGAATGTTTAAGTGGTGCACAACGTGTTTTTTCTTTGCCTGCTCTTCTTGACTGTATTAGTACAGCCTTGCACAAGTTACATGTAAACGCGTGTTTCTAAAACCTGTGGAGACGTGCGGTCGACTTCCACTTCAGGGGGCTTGAGTTTGAATAATGGGACGTTTTCTCTGAATGTAAAAACCTTTGCTCCTCACCTTCACGACTGTCTGTATGTGTGTGTCTGCTCAAATAGACACTGCAGTCACACCGCCACTACTGCAAGACGCCTTTTCCAGGTCCTCCATGACCAAGTCCTGCTCATTGATGTGGTTGAGTCGCCTGGAGGTGCTTTTATCCAGGCTGTTGAGAGAAATAGGCTCCAGAGCGGTTTGTGCGTTATTGGCTGGTAGCACAGAGTTTCCCTGCAGCCTGTGCGAGTAGGTCTTCCTCAGCTGTCCGTCCGCCGTGCACAGGCTGAACTTGAACACGGCTTGAAATCCGCTGCGGAAATTCTCATTGAAGAACCCGTAGATGATTGGATTGACGCTGCTGTTGAAGAAGGCCAGCCAGTGGGCAAAGGGGTAAATGTAAATGTTGATGATTCGGTACTGTTGCTCGGTCAGGCTGGCGTAGTCGCTCAGCATCATGAGAGTCCACAGAGGCAGCCAGGAGAGGATGAAGAGCAGAGCAACTATTAAGAGCATTTTAATCACCCGTTGCTTCTTCTTGGACACAGTGTGGCGGTTGTTGTGACCGGGCTTCCCCTCCGAGGGCACCGATGTTTTGAAAAGCGTGATGCCGATCCGGGCGTACATGATCACGATGAGAGAAAGAGGAGCAAGGTAGATGTTCGCAAACAGGACGGTGGTGTAAATCTTCCTCATCTCCTGGTTGGGCCAGTTCTCTCTGCACCAATAGAACGGACTTGTCTTGTTGTCGTAGCCCAGCAGCACCCGGATGGTTTGCTCCTTGGTCACTTGTAGCATCACCCCAGAGGGACACATGATTGATATGGCCAGAACCCAGATAATGACTATTATCAAGGTGGCTGTGGATATGGTCAGCTTTTGCTTGAACGGGTAGACAATGCATCTGAATCTGTAAGAAGGATTTAAAAAAGACTGAATGAGAGATATGAATGAAGCATGATCACCTAAAAATATCCTTTTCACTGTAAATTGAGCTGCTTGTAAAGAACATATTATTTAAATGGAACATTATATAATTGGGGTCAATGCAATTTCTAAAAGGCCAAATCCATATAGAAACATTGATTTGCATGTCAGGATTTCTGAACATGCCGCTTTCCCCACTGAGCAACATGTACAATGGAGCCAATCAATCAACCAACTGAACTACATTCATTGTGTCAGGGACCACGGGCGGTACGTTATACAAGATTGAATGTTCAAACCAAACTGTGCTCGGCTGACTTTATTTTCTTGATTCAAGTTCTATATATTTGATTGTGTTTGTGTCTATTTTTTATTATAGATATTTATATTTAAAGGCCTTAATGACATTTCTTTGTCACAAAGGTTTGATACCAACGTCCTCGGAATAATGACCAACTAAAATATACAGGTGCTATATATGAAATACTTTCTAACGTCAGTATCAGCCCCAAAGAAATCAATATTGGTTTTTCTCTGTTTCCCAACATAAACAGATGAGACTGAATGCAAACGGATGAATTGGGCTTGTTGTTCTGTTTAGTGTAAAGGGAACTGTATGTTAGAAGAGAGTAAGAGTGGCAGATATTTAAAAAAATAAAAATAAAACATTGAAGGAAATCCAGTGGATCTACCTCAAAGATTCAAACAACTCCAGAGCTCCTTTTTTAGTGACGTGATTTAAATGAGCAGAAACACTGTGCAGGGGATCGATTCAAGTTCTCACTTAGTTTCACCACATTTACTCCTGAATCACTAGTTTTGTTTTTTAAAAAGTCCCCCCCCCCCCACGCTGCAGTGTTTGAGTGGATCTAAAGGATGATGGTGTGATAGCTTAACGCTCACACAGGGAAACTTTCATCAGGATTGCAGCGTGGAGAGCTTTCCATCTTCTCTTCCCTTCCGAACTGATTCTTATCAAGGGGCTGGAAGATAAGGTGAATCTGACTTTTGGATGTCGAAGCATTTCAAACTCCATCTGTCCTTTCCGGAGTCACGGACACCCTCCAGTGATTTTCAAACAGTGACGTCGCAGATAAAATATCAGCTCTGTCAGTTTTACAGCTTGTGGAGCTGCTGCCACCCTCCTGTCCTCCGCAACGTCCTCCGCAGGCCTCCTTCAGTGAGGGTAGGCTGAATAACAAACTCCTCTCTGTGTAATTAAACACAACAGCATCGGACAACAGTCATCTCACAAGTGATCACACCCCAGGAACTGAACATTATAGCCGTCAGTAAGGGAGGATTCACTTCAGGGCTGTTGTATTAGACTGTCTTCATTTGTTTTCTTTGCCTTTTTTGAAACCAGAAAATAACTATATTTGAAGGAGCAGAGGGGTGGAGCCTTCATCTGTGATCTGCACCCATTGGACGGCATGTAGCTGTCAAGAGCACTTAGCAAAGAAACTGAACCTGCTGCCTGTTGAATGAGATATCATTTTATCACATGAATTCATAGAAAGTTCTTTCTTGATTTATCTGTGTTTGCAGCTGCAGTTCAAGGATAAACGATGCTCGGAGAAAGACACGCACAGACACATTCAATGCGGCAGTAATGGTAAAATACAGCCACTGTACCTGTCGACAGCGATAGCGACCAGAGTGAAGACAGATGCTGACACAGAGATCCCTTGAACCATGCCACTCATTTTGCAGACCAGGCTTCCGAAGGGCCATCCTGTTCGACAGGAGAGATGCATTCGGCCGATTTACAAAAGGAGACAGCAAGTTCAGACAGACAGCATGATAAACGTACAGCATGAATAAGTTGAGTTGATATCTCTGCATGCATGGAAGGAGGCACGCCCACCAATAAATCGGAGCAGCGGAGCAGCTAAAGGGATTTGCAATAGTGTCATATCCGAGTGTCTTAAAGGGAATAATTCCTTCTTTAGCGGTGCTTAATCAGGGCTGCAGGGTGCCAGCAGCACTGGAGAGTGTAGGTGTCATAATGTGGCTCGCTAAAATAATCACTGACTGCAGGCTGTCCTTGGTATAAACCCCCCCCCCCCCCGCTTCCACAGTCTGTACTTGTGCTTGATTGTCATTGCGTCTAAAGTAAAGGTTGACTGAGAAGAAAAAGGTTTCTGGAGTTTCTAGCTGGGACTTTTTAATTGACTCTTGAGTACATACAGTATTTTTACTTCAGGTGAGAGTTTGCATGTGAACAAATGCTTTTTAAAGTGCGTAAAAGTAACTGGTGTTAATAAGTTAAACGTCTGGGACCCCCCCACCCCACCAGAACTGCAGAGGTGAAACATCGTCAGGTTCTTTTTGTCGGATTCTTTTTCATCATCGAAGTTTTATTAACGTTACAGATCCATTCATCCATTCTCTACACCGTTCATCCTGTTAACCGATCCCAGCTGACATTGGGCGAGAGGCGGAGTTTAACCCAGCAGGGCCGACGTAACGGTGACAACCAGTCAAACATTAAAATGTTCCTGTGACCAGAAGCAACGCAAGAAGAAAGATGTTTACCTCGAACAAAGTACTAGTACACTTGTGATTTGGCCTCACTAATGCTGAAAGATAGAAATGGTGATCTTATTTTTTTCACTCCGTAGTTTAAATGTATGCAGAGGTGCTGTATGTGTAATAATCTGTTTTTAGGTTGTTGTAAATTATTTGGTGGTGCTCTCTATAAGAGACAAAACCTCTGAGACTCTTTCTCTACCTGCAGCTAACACGGCTCACTGGCTTCTCTGGTGTCTGGAAAAAGACGAACTGAATATTTTTTAAACGCTACAAACCTCACAAGACATTTGAAGGTTCGTCTTTTTAATGAAAATGTGGAGGTTTCAAGGCTGGCTAATGCCAAAGCACAGAGCGCGGCTCAATCACTACTCAGCCGTCAAGAGACACTCCAATGAAGACAATCTTGCAGCAAGATGCCCAAAGAAATACCTGCGGAAGTAATAGAATTCATACTCGAGGAACACCGGCTGCTGCTTGTTGTGGCAGACAAAGGGTTGATCAAGAGCACGAGCACTTTAGATCCAAAGCACTTCACCAGCCAGTTCACGCATGTCGACAACATCAGAGCTTTAACTCGTGGTCTTTAGAAAACAGAGACTGACCGCGTCGATGATGTCAGATTCTAGGAAACAACATTTTTTATCGGACGTGGTCAAGATTGACATTCAAACTGAGCACTAATCTGAGAAAGCAGGTTGATGAATGTTGAAAATATTTGAATCTGCATGTACACAGTCCTCCTGGTGGTCGCAGCTCATATTCCCGATTCGTCCATTTGCTGGTTTGAACCTATACCTTCCCAATTCATCCATGGAGTTATTTTGTTTCTGATTTTTTTTCAATCCAATTAAAAGTTTTTACCTGAGGAAGATTGTTTTTTAATCTTGTGCGCAAAAGATATTTATCTAGAGCGAACAAGATAATTTGAAGACAACACTAAGTTGCATCGATAGCTTTTAAGAGTTTATTTCATTAAGTTATGAAACATGGTCCTTCTGTCGGCTGAGCCTGTTGAAATGATCCCTGACAATCATGTGACTCTGTGCAAGAGCAACAACAATTTAATTCCGTGACTCTGCTAAAATAAAACTTGATCTTCTGATCTTGGATCTGTTGAGTGAAATGATATGATGAATTAATATGCCTCCACTTTAAAAAATATCTTCATTATGGGCAGACAACACTAATTTCTCTAATTGTAATGATTTAGTGTGCAGGGTGATCCGCTGCCCCTGTTACCTACAATATCCCGATGATAAACCTTTGAATAGATGCAGACAAGATTGTTTGATGACACTTTCATCTCCTTGTGATGCATCGGATTCACAAATTACCAGCGCCCTGTAATCACCGACGCTGACGAAAAGCTCCTTCTTCTAAAGCATTGTTGACTGAAGTGCTGTAAACATCATAATGGTGCATTAGATGAAAGCTTTCTCTCTGAGACCGTCTCAGATTTCCAATATTCCCGTTTTAACGGAGCAGGCAGACGAGAGGCTCGTATCACTGCAGCCACAAAGACACAGTGACAGAGCTGCATGTGGATTTCTCAGAATTGGTGGAGAGCTGTCCGTCATTAACAGAGCTGTGTTGACCCTCCGAGTGAGTCAGGCCAACTCCGTCCATCACACTGGACAATAAGAAGGTTTAAGGGTCCTTGGTAGAGTGCATACCTCCACCAAGGCCCCTTAAACCTCTCCTACACCAGAATTAGAAAGGGCATGCGACACACATCGACTTGTTTTCCCGTCATCACAAACACACTGGAATCTGAGCGGCTGTCTCACCTCGCTGTCTCGCTAGTGTCGCATTTTGTACCAGGTGAATAAAAACAATTAAAAAAAAACAATAAGTGCGCAAACAATCGTGACTTTTAACACTTTAAAGTTAAATGTGCTTCTTAACTTTGGGAAACGTGTTGCGCTCTCAGCCAGGTGTCGTGTCCATTAGTGCCGATCGGAGCAGGAGCCGATAAAAATCTACTGCGTTGGATCATTTGTACCGGGAGAGACCATCTCCCAGAGACGATGGTAACAGGATGAAGCCACGGCTGAGCACAGATTAGTGTCCACTTTGCCATCATCTCATTAATCGCTGAGTGTTTAGGCCGCGCTCAGCATCAAAGCACTGTACATGCACTTTAATGGAGGACCAGTGGTGCATTATATCCCTGATAGAAACGTCAGTGAAATCACTTTTTCTACCCGACGCTGAAGTAAAACCAGTAATGTACAAACACTTGCGTCCAATCATCAGCATCTGCAGGTCGAATGTTCCCAACGCCGCCACTGACGAGCGCCGCATGAGGCTTATTCACAGACGAGCCTGCCCATGTTTGTGGATGACGAAGCGGTTTGGCGTTACAGCTGAGTGAGTTCAATTTTCATTCGATGTGACACCGGCAGGTCTTTTTCTCCTGCTGCATTTCCAGTCTTTCGTGTGCCTCTTTGTGAGCTGCAGCCTCTCGACCGTTATTCCCTGTAGTCTCTCGTACTCTGATTTGATTTGACAAGTGCTGCCATAAATACAATAACCTGACTTATGTGTTCATAGGTGTATATTTACCTGGGACTGGTATAATCAGGTTTCCACAGTAGCCCAGAAGGGACAAACTAAACACTGGCTCGTTTGTTTTACTGTTGGAGCCATTGGTTTCCTCACTCGGAGGGAGGTGCGTGCTACATGCATAATGCAAACGTGATTCACATCCAAACCAGTTGTGAGGCCGGAAAAAACTTTTCCTACTTTCTTCCACTTGTGCAAAATGAATGTGACGTGATCCGATGTAATTTGCCGCATGACAAGAATTGCTGACGCTTTTGTCCACAGCAACTTAAAATAAGAGCATGAAACAGAGAGTCCGATTTCATTAAATCTGGAAGAACATCCGACTCGAATAACAAACTAAAAGCATGTTCTGTGTTGCAGAAGTGAGACGCTGTAAACTGGATTACATGGCATCATTATTATTAAAGTATAGAAATACTTTAATGCTGGTTTGAATATCTCACCTTTTAACTTTAATCTTTAAAAAGAAACACATTTGTGGGTTGAATGCTTCAATACTTACGTAGAGTCAACTGTTGGGGACGTCTCTACGTAGATATGAAATATATATATATATATATGTATATATATGTACTCCCTACGGGAAATTAGCATTTGAGCATTTCCGTTAATTTGTTTTAAATACATTCTCCATTGACATGCAACAGGGAAACACAAACATTTCAAATGAAACTTTAATTTAAAGGATTTCTGTTGGTTTTAATGTTGAGCTCTGTTTGTTACTGTAGAATGAAAAACTTTCTAATTAGCTTATCTGTTGAACTTTGTAAATAAAACAAACAGCGTGATACCGGCTACCAGCACGCAGCTTCCACGCTTAGAATCCTATTTAACATCTCTCACTGGATCTAATGAAAAACGTAAACTTCTGTCTGATGAACCCTTTAAACCCGAGGAGAAGTTTTCAGCTCCTTTCAAGATCGACGAGTTTCTGATTTCTGTTGACGGTTTTGTGAGAAGGCTCTGGCACCGGTGGGTCCTTTTAACAAACACACACTGAGTTTGGATTTGAGTCAGGTGAATTTTATGTGAATTGACTACAGCTCAACACAATTTAGAGGAATCTGAAAATAATTTAATTCAGCAGAAAGGTCAGGACTAGGGGATGAATACTTCCTAGTACAAACTCTTCTTCCCTTGAAAACGGTTGTTATTGCTCCATTCTGTATTCAAACGGCAGAACCGAATAATTTAGAAAGCAACAGAAGGAAATACCATGTATGCATTAAGCATTTTTTAATAAAACACTTTAGTTCATGTTGTGAAAATGTTTTCTTTTATACAGCGACAAATACAGTCAAGTTATCTGAAGAGATTTTTATATAGAGTAGGTCAAACTGTGCTCATCACAATATTAATAAAAACAGAGGATGCTGCACCTCGTTAAGATCTATGAGACCAATTGTGATCAATTAAATTTGATTGATTGATTGAAATAGACCCAATGCTTCCACATGAGGAAGCACAGTAAGTTGTGTGGATGGAAGCTTCCCATTTAAAGTATTTAACTCTGAATAATATTATTACTGCAGGGATTTAAAATGCAGCTGGATTTCCTCAGGCCCCGTTTGCCCGATAAAGACAATAATTCTTCTTATGCTGTTTTTGAGCGGATAAAATCAAATGTGATGAGGCAATGGGTGGATAATTGGTGCAATCACCTATTGAGTATTAGTTCTCGATCTAAAATCATCTCTGGAGGTGAATGAGGCCATTTACAGTCTCTGCAATTCTTGTTGTTCTAGTGATGTTCTTATGACGAATTCTTTTTGTTATTACTCTCGACACAAGGTTAGATCCAAATCAAGGTCATTTCAAAAAGCCTCACAAACACATGGAATACATTTTCATTCAGGTTCGGTCGAGAGGAAATGCAGATCGTCCCGATCTCTTCTTCTTCTTTTTATAATTTCTGGTTTCAAAGCAGAAGTCACGAGTTCAGAAAGCAGCAGCGAGTGTCTGCAGCCTCAGTGAAGGATGTGAACTCTCAGCCGCTATCACTCGCCTTAAGATCCGCTCATGTGAGATTTGTGTCATCGAGAGGCGACTGTCAAGTCCAATCAGCTCAACGTGCAAAAAGCCCTGGTCTCATTCATGCATGGTGGGAAGACCATCGCCTCCCTGAAAAATCACTATTCAGCCTCTGAGCCGTCCTCACTTGTGACACCACAGGCTTGTGCTAAGATAACAATAGGTTGTGTTGTTCACAGAGTTCAGTTCACACAGGATGGACTGAGTATGAACCCAAGAACAAGGGGCGCCCCTGTGTACATATGAGTGACCAGGGATCAAGGTTGATGTTCATGAGGTACCAGTTAGCCATGTTAGCAAAGTAACGCTGCAGGGTTTTGGGGAAATGCACTTGTGATTATTGGTTTCTTGCAGAGTCTGATGGGGAGATTGATATGAACGTGCTCCGCTTCAATGAGCATGAAGACTCAGAGGAAACAGCACAATGAAAAAGTGTTTGTGACCTGACTGACACACTCTGGTTCCTCTGGGTTCCTCCTTTTAAGGTTGGATTGATTTGTTGCGTTACCTCGGCGAACAATGCGTGAACAGATAGTTTAGGTAACGTGTGACTGCAGCGTGGATCCACCCCGTCAACGTTTGTCTGCACATAAAATATCACAAACGCCACGATTCGCTTGAGATGTAGATGAAAGACGTCGTTAAGATTAATTATAACATGCATGTCAAACTGCTATTTTAGGCATGTTGGGTTTCATTGGGTTGATTTGTGTCTGTAGTGAATTGAGGATGAGTTTTAAGTCACTGCTGATGATTGTTGGTTTGTTTATTTGTCAGCAACTGATTTCCACCGAACTACTTGGAATGACGGGCCACGAATGTAACCCATTCGTTTGGTGCGGAGGACTGATATCTGAACGTGCCTGCAGTTTGGTGCGGTTTGATTGAAGTAGTTGGCATTAAACAAAACTCGGGTAAACGGGTATTAGTTCATGTTTTTTTCACAGTGTTTTGAATTCAACACGTATTCAAATGTCTGATGTTCATCCTCTGAAGTCCAGCACGGTCTGAACCGAGTTTCACGGCCGTCCATGTGATATATCGAAGGTTTGTACAGTGTGCGCACAGAGTTCAGGTATTTTAGATTATGTTTGTGCTGCAGCCCAAGTTCCCTCAGAAAAGATAATAGATGAAACTTGACCTGACTTGACTTGAAGAAAACATGTTTTCATCACAGTTCATCCTGTGGTTGTTGAGATATTTCAGTCCGGCGTTTGAACAGACTATAAGCGACTGATTGACGTTGTTATCCCTACGACCACGCAGCCGGCTCGGCTAAATGTCCCTAATCCTGACACAAGTCACAGTCCCAGTCAGAGCACACAGTGAAGGTTTAATTGCCGGCGTGCTCACCTGTAATTATGTTGTCGAGGAGAGTTGTGGGCATGCAGAAAATCCCGACCAGGAGGTCGCTCACAGCGAGGTTCAGAATGAACAAGTTGGTGACAGTCCGCATGTTTTTGCTCCTCAGCACAATGAAGCACACAACTCCATTCCCCACCATGCACACGAGGAAGATGAGCAGGTAGGACACGATGAAGATGGCTGCTATGGACGGCTGGTGCAGGTAAAATCCAACGTAGGTGATGTTTTTCCTGTGGATGACCGACTCCACAGAGCTGTTGTAAAATGTCCAGTTGACATCGAGTTGAGTCAAGTTGGTGTCGGGTCCTTCGTTCATTTTAAACCTGAGGAATGAAAGAAGAGGAGGTGACTTCAGGGTGAATCGTCTTTCTTTCTAGTAAAGTTTCAAAGAATAGAGAAGTATTAAAGGTCTTGGATTTAAGTTTTAATACTTTCTAGTTTCTATTTAACGGCCAGACAAGGAAGCGAAATATTTCTTGAACCAAAACCTTGGCTGTGATGGCACGGAACAGAAACTCATTTTGCACGTCCACAGGGTAGAAGAGCCCAAACTGTGTGACTGGACTGATTGGTCCCATTACAGCCGTGCTGAGGAAACTGAACTCCAGGCTTGTTCTCTGTATTGTTTCTAGGTTTTCTCATCATGTTCAGCCAAAGAGAACAAACACCGAGTCTGTCAGAGGCTGCGATCATATGTTCTAGTGCATACGTGTGAATGAATGTGTCTTAGTAGTACACGTCGCCTTATTGCATGATCCCCCCCCCCCCGTTTGTTTGACTTCTTTAAGAGCTCATCACCACAAGGGAGCTTTTTCATGCTACACGTTGCCGAGTGACCTTTTGCTGACAGAGTCATGCAACTTCGCTAGTTAAACCTTTTTTTTCCTGTGGCACATGCGTGATGAAGTCTTATCATTTCCATTTATATCTCTGTTGTGCATAATTCATCATACTGACATTGGTTCACTGGCGCTCGTGTGGGAAATGAGACAGCCTCTGTACATTTTCACCTCGGCTCAGGAGGCTCTGTTATCACCACAGGATTACACAAACACAGAAAGCAGGAGTCAGAAAAGCTTCCGTTAAGTTTTGCTGCAAAAACCTATTTGACATTTTCGTTGATTTCCCCAAAAAACGATTCTTAGCTTTCCATGAAAAACCAAATCACACGTTAGGAGACTGATATTTATGCATGTGTGAAATTCGGTGCAATCCAGATAAATTCGGCAATCGGATTCCATAAGGAGACTGTTTGTCAAAACATCCATTAACATCCCAGATCCTCTTCGTCCTCATGGGGAGAGGTGTAAAAAGCCATTAGATGGAACAAACACTATTGAACCTTTAGAGAACGTCTGTCTGTCGCTTCGCAGCTTCTTCACACGTGAGGGAGAATTAACAGGGTAGAGAGGACGTCGATAATAAAGAGACATCACGGTGACCTCACTTCAGTGAAGAAAAAACGAGGACAAAGGTTCAACCTTTGTGCAATAAGGGTGAAGTTCAGGTGAAACAAGTGATTGGGTGGAATAAATTGCTCTCTCCTCTTTTCAGCCGGTGCTTTTTTGTGCTTTTCTCACGATGACGACGAAGTGTCAGCGCTGCGCCGACCCTCACCTACTTCTACACAAGATGGTGATTTTCTTAAGTTCCTCAAACGCCTTTCATCAGGCGCCGGAGAAGGAGCGCTCCTCGCTGCCGACGCGCAGCTGAAGACGGAGCGAAAAACAAGCAGAGCGAGGTTTGTTTTTTTTCCACTTCAGAGAAAAGTGCAAGCAGAAAGAACAACGCTGTCGCAGTCGACAACAGATGCTGAGAAAAGATCACGGCTGAAACTGTCTCTTCTTCTGATTGATTTGACTCTGCTTCGTTATTTAGTGATGGGGGAGTTTAGACAGAAATCCTGGCTCTCTGATTCTGATGTTTGCTCAGTGAAGGCCTGAAACCAAAACTTTGTTCTGATCTTTGTCTATTAAATGTTGCTGGATGGTTGGTTTTATTGATTTGATTCATCTTCTTCTTCAATCTTCAGCAGCTGTAAGTCTAACTCTAGACTGTCCCGTGGCGGCACGGTGGTACAGCGGTTAGCATTGATGCCTCCCAGCAAGAACATTCTTGGTTGCAAACCTGTGGTGAGAGAAGGATCCCTCTCTTATGACTCTCTGAGGTTTCTGTGGGTTAACAGCAGAGGATCTCCAACCTCGTACAGATTGTAAAACCCTATCAGGCAAACGATCATTTGTAAAATCTGATTTGATTCGAAACCCGGTTCGATCTGTGTCTTTCACCCAATGTCAGCTGGAATTGGCTCCGGCCCCTGAGGCTATTTAAAGATAATCAGTATTGATCGATTGATAATTTATGAATTTCTTTTTCCTCTTATAAATACTCATCCTCCTGTTTGCAGACTAAAGACACAGGAACAAACCTTCGCTGTGCTTGAGTCTGTTTATTTCGCTGGGACGTTTAGCATTCATCGCCCGAGCAGTGGAAGGTTGAAGCATCGTGCAGCAAACCTCCATTAAAAACTTCATTTGAATGAGTTAAATTTCACATTGACATTTCCCATTCACATAATCATTATGAGAAAGTAGAAGACTGGGGCCAGAGCACCTGTTAGAAGTGTTTTAACTGCGGATGAGTGTTGTGATCATGAATGCTGCTGATTTTGTCTTAATCACACATGTAGCTGGGTTTAATCATGACTCGATATATCGCAGCGCTGCTTGGGGCAAAATCAAGGGCTGCTGATGTTTGCACAGTATTTACTCCACTTAACGATCCCTGCGTTACGACCGCTGCCATGAAAATGACTCCACGTCACCGACGGTGATACACTTTGAAAGTTGGTGATGTCGCTCCACAGGCGCTTTCCCCTCCGTGAATGAGCTGATGAAGAAATGTGAATAAAACATGAACGAGGAAATGTCGGTGTGTTCTGAAGGTCCGTGTGGGACCAGTTGAGGATAGTGTGTAGTAATTGAAGCTGCTAAATAGTTAATCAATCTGTCCATTATTAGATTCTTCAACCTCAGTCCCTCTCTGACAGCAGATACTAAAAAAATATAACGATGGCGTCTCCATGTGGAGAGTTTGATGCAGAGTCGGGCAAATGTCAAAAACCAGAGAGAGAGATGCAGCATCCGTCATCTCGGACAGAAAAAGTAAAACCAATGTCAACCTGAAATGTGGTTTGTGTGAGTTGTGCATTGCCCAAGGAGGTGGTGGAGCTGCAGTATTCCTTTACATCACAACTCAGACATGACCTCCTGAGAATTTAGTGGCCAAAGCTCAAAAGCAAAAAGATCCTGGTTCCGTCCCCTGATCCACACCAACATTCAATGGGTCCCTCCCCTACACGTGGCACATCCTTCTCAGAAGCTTCGTGGAAATTGGTTGAGTAGTTTTTGCAGAATCGTGCTCACAGACAAACAAATCACCTGAGGGACGGGTGAATGCACGGCGCCCCCTGTGGAGCTAATAATGAGAAAATAAACTTTCTTAAATTCCTTCAAAGTCCTCACTGCGTGAACCACGAGTCTGTTCTGCATCGGGTCAGTCGTTGAAGCCGCCTGACATATGGTGTCAGATGTCATCTGAATCTTTATGAGGTAATACTCCATCTGTCCACAGCAGATTAAACAACATCTTTTTTATTAAACTGGAAGTGGTTCGCTCTACTTGTTAGTTCAGCCAGTCTCTGGAGGATTGAGCTGCTCTTTCTACGATCATGAGCAGCTCCTGGTTTTACAGTGACAGAGAGACACAGCTCACACGCTCATGGTCTCGTTAAAGCAACGCACGGATATTCTATTTTCTTTTGCAAAAGAAACGTTCGACACAGATAAAAATGGAAATGATGCGGTTTCATCTCAGACCATGGAGCACAATTTATCTGTGCATTGATTATATAAGTCATGAATGGGAAAGACATTAAATTGCTTCCTTCCTCCTCATTCATTTTTAATTCATAAATGCCTCCACAGTCCACAGCAGATACGACGGACGCTCCTCTCTCCCACGGCTGTAGTGAATCTTTAACCGTTGTTTAACCAGGGAGGGAAAATGATTGTGTTGCATTGTTTGCTCCCAGAAAATATCGGTCTCTGTGGGGTGTTTGGGTAAAATGTGCCGAACCCTGGCAGCGCCGTTAACGTCACAGTGATTCTGGAGATTCGATGGAAATCATTTGTTTCCAGTACAGGGTCCACATGTGGAGGCTCTTATTTCCTCCGTGAGAGGATTCTGCCTCACAACGATACGAGTGGACCAGATTCAATGACTGCTGATGACTCGCATTTCTATCAGAGGCTCATAAGTTTCGGAGGCGAGATAGTGGAGGAGCGACATAAGCTCATTATCAGGATTACCGGCATCGTGACCTCACTAAATGTGTTTTAACTGAGAACTGCACTGATACAGATATGATGTGGATTAGGATTTGCTGCAGGATGACATGATGCATATGTCAGATTAAAGAGGTTGTTTATTTAAAAATGTTTTTATATATATAATGCTTCAGGTCACCATGCATGATAGGGCTGTGAAAAATATTACAAATATGAAATCTAATGTTGGAATGTGCAGATTGAAATGCATCTTTAGTGACTGATACAGATTCACCTGTGCTGAACAGAGTCTGCAGGGAATCGCACTGATCATAACCTCATCATTTAAACCTCATTATCCAGTCATCAGTTCATTATCACCCATGAGACGAGGACAGCAGCCATGAAGAGGCTTCGTGTACGAGACCAACAGACTCGACGGCAGCACGGAGCCGAGGATCTCTGTGAGCCAAGTCTCTCCTCACGTCACGGTCTCTCCTCACATTTGCTGGTTGCACTTCGTACGGCGGAGCTCCAAGTGAACAGTGTCCAGATGATGAAACACGACCTCGTGCCTTCACTGTTCATTCAACCCATAAATCAATTACACTGTCCCTCAAGGGG